AAAAATTAATTAATTAAAAAATATATTATTACTAAAAATAAATGAAGTAAAAGAAAAAAAAAACATGTAAAGGCGTGCAGGTGCAATGCCACGGAAGCCGATGACAAATGGCCTCACGAAGTCAGTTAGCGGGGGGCTGATTTGCAAGCACCGTGGGATTAGATGACTTATTTGTCACTTTTTTAGTTCAGGCTTATCACTTGCTGTCAAAAAAATTGAGAGGTTTAAAAAAAGTTTTTACCTTAAAAGAAGAGCCATGAAAATTACCATTCACCCACTCAGTCGGACACCCCACCCGAAATTCACGTCACAAACATGAAAAGGTTGGGCCTCGGTTGTGGGCCATTGCGACGAAGAGACATATCTGTTCGTGTGTATCAGTGTATGTGTATATTACTATTGTTTTTACTGTTGGAGTTCATACACTTTTGTTTTTTTTTTTTTAATTCATTGATGAATTTAGAGTTCGAAGATATAACATCATTTAAAATTATAACTTGTGGTAAAGATTTTGTCATAATAATTAAAATTGTAATTTAATGAAAGAACGAATCAATTAATTCATGAATTAAAAAATAGTAAATTTAAAAAAAGTAGGTGGATTCATTATATTTCATTATATTTTAATGAAATACCATCTCATTAAATTTTTTTTCAAACATACAATTTTAGTTTCCATATCAGTATTAAAAATTAGGGATCAATTTATATATAAATTTTACACATTATATTTATATAAAATCTTAATTATTCATCTCTTAATTTTTAATAATTGAGATTTCATTATATTTTAATGAAATACCATCTCATTAAATTTTTTTTCAAATATACAATTTTAGTTTTCATATCAGTATTAAAAATTAGGAATTAATTTATATATAAATTTTATACATTATATTTATATAAAATTTTAATTATTCATCTCTTAATTTTTAATAATTAAGATTTATCAGGTTTTTTTAAATAAAAAACAATTATATTTAATATATATATATAAAAATTTCAACTATTAAAAAGTAAAAAAATGAATAGTTGAATTTTTATGTAAGTGTAATATGTAAAATTTGTATGTAAATAAATTCTTACTCATTAAAAATTAAAGCAAATAAATTTTTTTAACAAAAAAAAAACCATATTTAATATATATAAAAAAATTTCAACTATTAAAAAGTAAAGAAATGAATAGTTGAATTTTTTTATATAAGTGTAATATGTAAAATTTGTATGTAAATAAATTCTTACTCATTAAAAATTA